AGACTTAGGAATTTCCCTTAGTGTTTCTTTTTTTAAGCTTTATTTTTAGTTATTTGAAAGGTAGATTTATTTGACAGAGTTAGACATTGAGAGGGAAATACAGAGAGAACGGTCTTCCTTCCATTGGTTCACCCTCCAAATGGCGACCATGGCTATTGCGCCGTGCCGATCCGAAGCCAGGAGCCAGGTGCTTCCTTCTGGTCTCCCATGTGGGTGCAGGGCCCAAGGAATTGGGCCGTCCTCCACTGCCTTCCCGGGACACAGCAGAGAGCTGGACTGGAAGAGGAGCAATGGGGACAGAATCCGGCACCCCAATTGGAACTAGAATTCGGAGTACCGGCACCGGGGGTGGAGGATTAGCCTAGTGAGCTGCGGCGCTGGCCTGAAAAGTAGATTTACAGACAGTCGGGGTGGGAGAGAGAGAGAGAGAGAGGTCTTCCATCCACTGGCTCACTCCCCACTGAACACGATAGCTAGATCTGGGCTGATCTGAAGCCAAGTGCCAGGAGCTTCTTCTAATTCTCCCACGTGGGTGCAGGGGCCCAAGGACTTGGACCATCTTCCACTGCTTTCCCAGGCCATAGCAGAGAGCTGGATCAGAAATGAAGCAACTGGGACTCGAACTGGTGACCATATAGAATGTAGATGGAGGGTTAACCTACTACACAGTGCCAGCCCCTCCTTTAGTATTTCTTATAGTGTGAATATACTTGTAATAAATTGTACTAATGTTCATTAATTGAAAAACATCAATATTTTCCTTTATTCAGCAATAATGTTTTTGACAAATGTAGAATTCCATATTGATAATTTGTTCCTAAAATATTGTTAGCACTTTAAAGGTACATTTTTTTTCTTATGAGAGGTAAATGATTAATTATATCATTGTTTCTTAGTGTCCAACTTTTTCCCCTGAATGCTTTCAAGATTTTCCCTTTATATTTGTTTTTCAGAAATTTGACTATGATATACCTGAATATGATATCCTACTTGGAATCCACTAAGCTCATTGAATCTGTAAATGAATGTGTTTCATTTATATATATTTTTCTTTAAAAACTGGCAGCTTTATTGAGGTGCAATATATAAAAAAACCTGCACATATTTAATGTATTCTACTTGATAGCTTTTCGTTATATTTGGAAATAACTTTCAGCATTTGTTTTCAAATACTTCTTCTTTCATTGTCTTCTGGGCCTTCAATTACATCTATATTATAACTTTGACATTATCCCACATATCAGTGACACTCTGTTCATCTTTTCCATTCTTTTTTCCTCTCCTCTCTTCTTGAAAAGGAATACTATCCATTGATTTATATTCCAGTTAACCTACTCTTTTTTTTTTTGTCATTTCCAATCAGCTGTTAAGCCTACCTAGTGAATATTACTTCAGACATTTTAAGTTTTAGTTCCTGAATTTACATCTGATTGTAGTTGTTTTCTTTATCTGTGATGTGATTTCTTATTTGTCCACTTATTACAAGTGCATTTTTCTTTATTTTCACTAGTGTTGTTATGATAGGTGATTTAAAATCCTTTCCACTAATTTCCACAGCTGGTTTATCTTAAGGCTGGTCTCCTTTGAATGTGTTTCATCTCGAGTATGGGTAACATTTTCTTATTTCTTTGTTTTATAGTAATTTTGGAGTGTACTCTGAACATTGTGAATGATATAGTATGGAGGTCATTTATTCTCTTTTATTTCTCTGTAGAGTATTGATTTGTTGTTGTTTCAACAGACAGTTGATGTGGCTGTAGTGAAACTCTTAACTCTCCCTTGTGGACAGAACTGAAAACTCAGTTAAATTCTTTCAGCTTTATTTTTGTACTGCCACATGCATGTTTCATGATTCTATCAGACAGTTGGACAGTTTGTACACAGCATTTGAGGTTCCTACTCTGTACTTTTATTCATTTTTATATTTTACTCATCACTTTCCTATAACAGTGGTCATCCTGAATTCTGTCTTCTGGTCCTTCAGGCCACTTGGACTGTAAGCAGTTATTTGTGGGAGCCAACTGTGCTCATCTCTTCCCAAATCCATATTTATGGAGTCATCCATGTTAGGAGTATTTACACTATGAAAACTGATAAATGCTGCAAATCAGGCATTTGTTTATTTTTCTCCCTCAAAATTCAATTTCTAACATTTAACAGCTGCAACACTGATTCTAGTTTCTCTAGAGTTTGATATACTGCTTTGGTCTGGGAGTCACCATTAGGCAAAAATTCCCAGAAAAAGAGAAATGCACATGGTATTGTTCCCTTCAGCTAAGTATCAACTCTTGTCCAATTTCTGCCTGCTATTGGTTACTTTCAAATATATTCACATTACTGTATTATATATTTTGTCCAATGTTTATTGTTATCTGCATCAGAGTTAATCTGATACAAAGTTCTTTACGATTACCATGAGTCATCTTAGTAAAGTGTTTCTTGGTTGAAATGAAAATGTTATTAATTTCCCATACCCCTAAAATTGTATGATTTAAAAAGTCTTTGAGAATGTCTTTATCCAATTTATTTGTGTTACAATATTTTTTAAGAAATGTTGATACTTTAATCTTTTTGTTTAGTGTCTGTATTTGACAAAACAGAAAGGTTAGCAATTGTAGTGGATTGAATAGTGTCTTTCTCCCCCAAATCCATGTCTGCTAAGAACCTCAGGATGTGATCTTATATAGATGGCAATCTTTGAAGAAGTACTTAGTTAAAGATCTCAAGATGAAATAATCCTGAATATACAGTGAGCCCTAAATACAATGACTGGTGTCTTTATAAAGAGAGAGAATTTGGTCAAATAAAGGAGAAGGCAATTTGAATACTGAAGCCAGAGATTGAAGTGATACTTCTATAAGCTAGGGAGTATCAGAAGCCACCAGAAGCTTGAAGAGGCAAGGACAGGTCCTCCTCCATAACGTTTGTACTGAGTGTGGTTCTGCCATCACTATTTCAGACTTTGGGCTTCTAGAACTGTAAGACAATATATTGCTGTTGTTTAATACTACCAAACTTATGATAATTGCTATAGCATCCCTAGGAAGCTAATACAGCTACCTTATGCCAAGTCATAACATTTCCTTTTGCCAGTTTACTACTGCATTAATTTTAATGGGCATTTATGCAAACAAATATATGCATAAAATCATGTATCTATGCAGGAAAGAATGTGCATAGCTAGGTGTTCACATGTACACTTGATTTATGCACATTTGTATGTCGTTTTGGTAGATAAAAATTCTATACCTAGGGTTAGCATTCTAGGTGTTATTCTTGCCTCTACCACTCACTCACTCAGATCTTAAGTGAGCATAATGAGGTGGTTGCCTTTATGGGTCCTTTCAGCTAAGTGAGTCTAAGATTATGGTTCCCTATCTGTCTACATGCTCAATTTATAGATGTTTTTGAAGAAGTTTGTAGTTGGAGTACAGTGCATGTATCTCACTGGGCAGGAATATTAGAAATTTGAGGGGAAAAGGCCAACAGGATGGTTGTTTGAGTAAAATTGGCATATTCTGGGCAAAATTTTAAATATCTATTGTGTCCTAGTCACTATACGTATATTGAGGCTAGCGTATTTAAAAACATACAACATAACTCATTTTCAGTCAGATGTCATTTGGTTCTCTGATTAAATGGACTAGTAATCATAGTATGAGTAATTTGATGAGAACAATGTTTATGCTGATCTGTATATCTATCTATACATTGTTTGGTAGGAGTTAGCAATTTATGCATATATTCATTTGTATGGCCCCTGAAACACTAAAATAAAATGTTAATTCAGTTTGATTTGGAGTTACTCCCATCATATCATCTTTGGAGAACTTTCAAGATTTGGGAGTCTATTTTTCACTCTGTAAATATAAAGTACTCCTTCATGTGGAATTTTTCTGTTTTTAGATCCTGAACTATTACATATGGAAGGGTCTTTTAAGATCACCTATGTGTATCCACCCCTTTTCACTTACCCATTGAAGTTACTGAGGACAAAATTGAAGAAGTGACTTGTGGAAGGAAAATTTTCAGAGGCAGGATTCAAACCCAAGTTCCTTTATTTTACTTTTAGCTTAGACCTGTTTCATGCTGCATCCTTACTGTACTTTGCCTAGGTTGTTATATTTTTCTTTTGCCCCAGTGGAAATAGAAATCTTTTCAACTTTGAGTCGATCAGTCTCCTTTTCTCTGTCCTGCCTTTCCTTATGTAAACTCAAGTGTAGGCTCACACACTTGCATGAACATATATCCCTTACAGAATTTTTTGAAAGGAAAGCTTTGTGATTCTGCTGTGTGTCTCTGTTACCTAGAAGGAAGCTTGAGCTTACAGTTTTGAATTGGGTCCACACTTCTACTTTGCTGGCGATGGGGGTGGAAGTTAGGTCATTAGGGGATCAATTTGGCTGAATCCTTTCTTCTTAGTGGAGTGTGAACGACAATCCCTTTGATGTACTTTTTTTTTTTTTTTTGGCTCATTACTGTCCTCATAGATGCAATCTGAACAGACATGATTGTCAAACCTTTATTTGGAGCCTGGGTTAGAAGGCACGCCCATAGGGATGTGAGGGAGGCAGAGAGAAAGAGAGGAAGCTCACTCTTCTGTCTTGGAACAGCAAGTAAGCATCACACATCGGCTACGGTAATCCATACTTCCTTTATCTTCCTTTCTGCTCTTACCCTTTCGCTCTCTTTCTCTTCCCCTTGCTTCCTCTGCTCCTCCCCTTCTCTGTGAGCTTCCCTCTATTTCTCTGCTGGAAACCTTAAAGAATAAAATACTACTTTAGTCTTTTGTGAAACAACCACAGATCTAAAGCCTTTCAGCGCTGTATTCTGAGCCCCAGCACAGCCGCGTGCTCAGCACCAGGCAGTGCACTGTGAACCTAAAGCAAAGGGGGAGGGGAGGAAGGGGGGAGGGACAGAGAGAGAGAGAGAGAGAGAAGGAAAGGGAGAGGGAGAGGGAGAGAGAGAGGGGGAGAGAGAGAGGGAGGGAGGGAGGGAGGGAGGGAGAAGGAGAGCGTGAGCGCGCGCAAGCTAGCGAGCAAACCAGAGACAGACCGAGAGGGACCGGGAGAGAAACCCAGAGAAAAAGAAGAAGCTGAGCTCTGTCGGGGCTCAGCCTCCAACTTGTTTCAGTTCATTCATCCTCCTTTCCTTTCCGCTTCGGGGAAGTGACTGTGGCGCTCGGTAAGACATAGATGTTCCTCGTTCCCCCTCCCCCAAGCTCAGATCTCCTTTAGCGATAGCATCTCTCCCCCGTACTGAGAGTCTCCTTGGGTTGGCCAGGGAGGCGAGGTATGCTCTGCAGCTGTGATGATATCCTGGGTCCCTGAATGGGGCTAGTGGAAGCCCAGAGGCGGCATCTGGCCGAGAGACACTGGGGTAAAACCGGGTTTGGGGAAGGGGGGTTGTGATGTGATGGTGTATGCGCGATTTGCTTCATTGTCAGTGAATTGTTTTGTTCCTCTTTGGAAGCAGGTCAGCGTTGACCTTGCAAATTGCTTGGGGCCCCCAGCAGCTGCTGCGGAAAGCCACAGAGTGGCCCCTAGCCAGAGCAGACAGCACTGTCATGACCCCCCAGACAGCCCTAGGCACCAGGGACAGGATAATGGCTGGAGCTTCCTCCCTCCTTTAACTCTTTCTTTGCAGCTGCATTTCACTGCTAGAAATGAAAAAGAAGGTGGATACTATGCAGCCTCTCTTCCTTCTCCCATTACCTCCCCCAGATGCAAGTGAGTGGGAAGTTGTAAATAACTGTTTCCTTTGTAGCAGGTGGAGATCTTCCCCCTTCCTTTAAGAGCCTCACTGTGGGGGTCAGGCCTGACTTTGTCCACAAACTTGGGAGGCTTCACTTGCTTAGGTAGGGGATTCCCCATTGCCTGTTCACCCTCAATCCCAGAGATTCAGATACACCAACCAATCCCACTAGTAGGCATCATGTTAGTTGCAGTTGTGTCCTTGGGAGGGAGGAAACACCTGATGGTTTGCCTGGAACTGGTTTCCCAATTTGTTGTTCCTTTGACTGTGGCTGCGGGTGGCACAGGCAGAAGGACTCTAGGAGGGTGGCTACTGATTTACAGATAGCAGGGTGAGGAGCTAAGATTCTCTGTATTAATGGCAAGGCTTATTGAGTGTCAGCAGGTTCTGCTTGTCCGGAGCTATACAAGGACTGGATGGAGATCTCGTAGTATAACCTCTCTGAACTGGTAGGGGAGAGGATCTGGTTGCTTGATAATTTTTGATTTAGTGACACTGCCATGTCCATGATAGTAATTATAGCATTAATAATGCTAACCACTAGTATTTTTGAATGTTTTGTATGTTTTATATCCTGGGCTGAGGATTTAATGTATATTACCTCACTGAATTCTTTTATCAACCCAATGAAGCAGACACTGTTACTATCCTTGGTGTACTGGTGAGGAAACTGAGGTACGGAGTAATTGGTTATTACAGAGAAACTAAGTATTTTAATTATGAATTAATATAGCAACCTGGTTCCAGAACCTGCATTCTTAACCATTAATCACTACTGCTTCTTTAGAGAGAATTCTGCACTTTTGTCTGCTAGGCGAGTATAGGTCCAATAGGAATGGTGTTGCCTGGCAAGATTTTTTTTTGGAAAGTACTGGTCTACCTTTATGTAAAGTCGAATGAATTCAATTGGGACAGGTGGCTGGCATCTGTGGGGCCAAGCCTCATTTGGGATTCCTGGAGGGGCTGCCTGCAAAGATTCCCTTGGCCAGACTGTTTTCCTTCACAAATGATGTCTGGAAAGATTTCACTTTCCCAGTGCTGTAGCCTTATCCATCCTACATTCAGCTTCAAACCATGCTGTTTTAGGAACAGATCTTGCTCTTATTTCCTGAGAGTCATTCTGTATGCACAATTTTATAATACTAAAACCTTGCAACTGGAAGTGTCCCTAAAGGTCATTAAACTTTACTTCCCCACCCAGTTCATGAAATTATCCTGCACATCCAATGTGTGGACTGATTTCTATTTCAGTTCTCTGTGGTGACAGAGAACTCTTTGTATCTTTGAACAACTCTGATAGTCAGAAAGTAATCCTAGTAATAAGCCCAAATATGTCTCCCTGTAGCTTGTATTTATTCATTCTTTGGGCCTATCTATAGCAAATTTGACTTTTCTTAAGAAAAATTCATCAGTTAGTTGATGACAGCAATCATGCCTCCCACTTCAAGCTTCAGATCTGATGAGACCATTGAGTGAAAGATCATCATTCAGCTCATCCTGGAGACCATGTTTTTATGAAAGTAATATCCCACTTGTTTGTCAGCCACAAACTTAGCACATTGAGTTGTCTAATACAGCCATGATTCCTTGGGAGAACATGCTGTCTGATGTGAACTGGACTGATGGAAACAAAGGAGGTCTCTTGTGTATTCCTAAAGAGCAGGAATCAGTTGGTTCCATTCCTTCTAAAGCCCCAGAATGTCTATAAAGCAGCCAGACAATAGGTATGTTGAAAGATTTGAAGGGCAAGGACTAACAGTGATTATAATAAAAGATCTTTGAAATAGTGGTTATCCAGATTTCATTCAGGATATGGAAGGTAGAAGAAAAAAAATGCTGTTTCAAGAATTATCTCAGAAATGAGGGCATCAGTGAGGGGAGGATACACAGCAGGGTTGGATGGAATAAGAATGAGCAGGTAGCATTTCAGAGTGGAACACTGACTTGGGTATGGCAACTTAGGTCTGATACCTGGCTCCGGGAGTTTTCCAGTTTCTTTATACACATGACTTCCCCTCCTTGGGCTTCAGTTTTTCCATCTACAGAAATAATGATATGGTCTCTAACTTCAAGGATCTTTTAGCTCTGAAGTAAATCATAAAATCACTGGATTATAAGGGGCTTCAGAAATTATATAAGCCAGTGATTCTCAAATTTTAATGTGTAAAATGATCCCCTAAAGATCTTGTTAAAATACTAATTCTGATTCAGGGGGGTTCTAAAGTGGGGACTGAAGTTTTGCATTTTAACAAGCTGCCCTATGATCTGGAAACTTGTGTTTTACTGACCACATTTTAAGTAGCAAAGCTCTACTATAGTGCATGTCAAACTATCTCAGTGAATTACCAGCTCTTTTTCTCTTAATCCATCACACACTGTTAATTTAATAAAACACATTAGCTATGAATTGCTACAAAATGAAAAGACATACAAAATACAGGATTCTGCTTTTATTACTAGACTCAACAGATAGAAAATTATTTTGTTCAAATTTCTGTAGCATTTTCTAAGTGTATTCTCAATTGCTGCACTAAGGTAGTTAATACCTGGTAAAAAAAAAAAAGTTTGCAGACAGGTACTGATTTGCCAACTGCACTTCGAGAAATGCTGGTCTAGGCTACCTGTCCATCTAATTTGAAAGGTCGAAGTTAGGCCCAGCTGTAATTTCTTTTTTAAGAAGATTTATTTTTATTTATTTGAAGGGCAGAGCTAGAGAGAGAGAGAGAGAAGAGAGAGAGAGAGGAAGAGAGAGAGATAGAGATAGAGAGAGAGAGAGAGAGAGACAGAGAGAGAGAGAAAGGGTAGAGGTCTTCCAAACCATTGGTTCACCTCCCAAATGGCTACAACGACCAGGGCTGGGCCAGACCTAAGGAAGGATCCAAGAGCTTCATCTAGATTTCCCACATGGGTACAGGGGCCCAAGGACTTGAGCCATCTTCTGCTGCTTTCCCAGGTTCTGTAATAGAGAGGTGGATGGAAAGTAAAGCAGCTGGGATTCGAACCAGCACCCATATGGGGTGCCTGCACTGTAGGCAGTGGCTTAACCCATTTACCACACAATGCTGGCCCGCAGCTGTAATTTTTAAATTGCCTCTGCCACATGATCTTTCACACTCAGGTTAAATATCTCCATTAATGGAGAAATGAATATTTCCATGAAGTTGCAATATTTAGGTGCTGTTACTACATAAAGTGTTTTTTTTTTTCTTTGTTCTTAGAATGTTTCTTTTCCTTATAGTGTCTTTGAGATCCTCTCTTAGGTTATATATTCCAAGCAGGTAAGGGGCCATGTTAGTTTAGTTTGTTGTATCATCAGCTATTAGCCTAGTGTATGACATAGAGTAGGTGCTTAATAAATGTTTGTTAAATGAATGGATGGATCATTTGATGTTAGTTATGAGGTTGTACAGTCAATAAGAAAGGTGATTTTAATTTCCTTTCAACATTGAGAATGCAGTGCTAAATTTATTTTTATAAATTTCTTATGGTAAATAGTAGGTAAGACCTATCCAACAACCTAATTTTATTTGTAGGGTATTTAGGAAGCCAGGCAAATATTTTGTATACTCTAAATCCTACACCATTACCCTTAACTCAAACATTCATCAATTCAAATGGTGTGGTTAGGCACTTTGCAGAAGACACAAGGATGAGCAAAGTGGATATGGTCTCTGTTTGCATAGGGCTTATGGTTCGATGGGAAAGAGGACATTAATCAGATAATCACATAACCATGGCATTTCAGTCAACAGCAAATACTGTGAAGGAAAAGTATGGGAATGGGGCTATGAAGGTATATGACATAGGAATTTCACCTAGGTTGGGATTTGAGCAAAATTTCCTTGAGAAAATAGTATTGAGGATGAGTGGACAGGTGTGATGGAAGGGTAGGGGGTGAAGGAGGTGGTAGAATGGTTTTCTAGGAGAAGGGAAGAGCATGGAGAAGTGCTATATGTGAGAGACAACAAATTTACAAAATTGAACAAAAGTTTATGTGGCTGGATTGAGACAGGGTAAGAATGTCAGGCATTATTACTAGAAATATAGGATAGGATTAAAAGGTGTTAAGTAACGTGACTACCATGGCCAAAACTGAATCCATTTACTATAAATTCATGAAATGTGTATTATGAACCAAAGACAGTGTAGGAGATACTGCATGATTTAGGAGTAACCTCTATCTGACAAGAATACACAGTCAAATAGGAGAGAAAAGGAATACAAACAACTATAGTACTAGTAGCAGGAGGCAGGGGAGGAGATACACAACAGATGAAAGTGAGGCAAAGGGCTTCAAAAGGTTCAAAGATACCTTCTTGAAAGTGGCATTTAGAGAGATCAAAGACTGCTTCCTGGAAGTGGTGTTTGAACTGAGCTTTGAAGATTATACAAACTTTGGATATGCAGAGTTAGGGGATGGAATGTGTATT